CTTGTTTTATGGGGCTGTCCAATCCCCGGCTGAACAGTGAACCTCGGAAGTGACTTCACTACTGAGCTAAAAGGATGTCTGGGGGCCATACTCTTGGGGTTTCTCCAGTCTCTTTCAGGCCAGTAAATCTAGTCTTTCTTGTGTGTGTTAGAATTTTGTTCTACATCCTTCACCAGCTCTGTCCAGAACCCTCTGTTGTGATCCTGGTTAGAGCGGTCAGTGGTGGTAGCCGGGCACCGTCTAGCTGTACTGGACTCAATCTGGTGGAGGCCTTGGTAGCTGTGGTCCATTAGTCCTTTGGACTAATCTTTTCCTTGTGTCCTGTTCTCTTCATTCTCCCTTGCTCCCGAAGGGATGAGACCAGTGGAGTATCTTAGATGGCTGCTGACAGGCTTTTAAGACCCCAGATGCTACTCACCAAGGTAGACTGTAGAACATTGTCTTAATAAACTGTGTTATGCCAATTAAGCTAGATGTTCCCCGAGACCATGGTCCCCACAGCCCTCTGCCCAGCAATTGAGTCCCTCAGGGAGTTTGGAAGTGTCTATGGAACTTCCATGATCTTTCCCTGTACAAGTTGTGCTGGCTTCCCTAATATCGTGTACTGTCTTACCCTTCAAAAAAGTTACCACTTATCTATTGTCTATTTAGTTCCCCCTCCCACCCCTCCCATCCCTCGTAACCAACAAGGATTGTTTCTTTTTGTATGTAAACTTTTGCACAAGTTTTTACATTAGAGATCTTATACAATATTTGTCCTTTTGTGATTGACTTATTTCACTCAGCATAATGTCCTCCAGTTTCATCCATGTTATGAGATGCTTCACAGATTCATCATTTTTCTTTATCATTGCATAATACTCCATTGTGTGTATGTACCATAGTTTATCCATTCATCTGTTGATGGGCATCTAGGTTGTTTCCATCTTTTTGCTATTGTGAACAGTGCTGCCATGAACATGGGTGTGCATATGTCTATTCGTGTGATGGCTCTTATTTCTCTAGGTTAATTTCCTAGGAGTGGGATTCCTGGATCGTATGGTATTTGTATTTCTAGCTTTCTAAGGAAGCGTCTTATCATGTAGCTGTTAGATTTTAAGTTTGCTGTTTCTGCCTGCCATATAAAATTTTAATTATGAAAAATTTCAAACATACATGGAAGTAGAGAGATGAGTATAATGACACCCCCCCACCCCAAATATCCAACACCTAGATTAAAAAATTACCGAGAACTTGCCAAACTTGCTTCACCTATGCTTTTTATTTTTTACTCCTTTTTATTTTTTGGCTGAAATTTTTAAAATTTTCCTCCTCTTGACCCCAAGTGCAAAGTAGTAAAAAAATCATAATCCTTACGAAAATCATAATGAGTTAATTACACTCATCGTTGGCCTCCTTAATTCATTTATTTAGCTTTTAAATTATCTTTAATAATGAAATAAGCACCTCGGTACTCATTGCCCAAAAGAGCTCAATCCTACTTTGAAACTAATTTACAAGTAAACACTCACTAATCCCATCCCCCTACCTCCTCTACCTGAAATGACTGTCACCCTGAATCCTATGTTTATTATTATCTTTTCTTTTACAAGGAAAACCCACTGGAAGTGAGGCTTTTACTACTGGAGGTCAAAGTGATATATTACCCACATACTCTTGCTTCATTGAGTTCTATATTGTTTTACTATGTATTTCTATTTTAGTTGTGCTTAACTTTACAGCAAGAGTATTGTTAATAGTAGCTTTGGGGGGCCTTACCTTTTTACTTTGTGTTATATGACTAATTTTGCTGGAGTTCTTTTGTATTGGCTGTCTTATAAGATTCTTCTGTGTTAATTATACCACAGTTTGTTTATTCCCTCTCCTGTTGATGTGAGTTTGTGTTATTTCCTACTGACGTATTTGAAAGCAAATCCCAGACATCATGTCATATCAATCCTACATACATCTCTAAAGAATATGAACATTTTCTTACACAATTACAGTGTCGTTACCATTTTTATAAAACTCAAAATTCCCTGATAACCGTCTAATAATCATTCAATATTTAAATTTCCTCAGTTGACTTAAAGTCTTTTTTTTTAAATAACATTTGATGTGTTTGAAATAAATCTAAACAATGCCCATACATGGCATGCCACACTTGGTTTTACATCTCTTGAGTCCCTTAATCTAGTATGCTCTCCCCTCCCCCCACTTTTTTCCATTTTTTTTTCCTACTTGTTAAAGAAACCTGGTCTTTCCCCCTGTAGAATGACCCACACTCATATGTTGATGATCTTACCTGGATCAATGATCTTTTTGGAGGTTATAATATGACAATTCTGTCATTTTTTTCTATGTTTGTTAACTGGAATTCTTCTGTAAAGAATTTTCCATCCTTAACTAAGAATATTTTAATACCCTGAAATATAATTCAAGCAGTAGTGGTAGAATAAATGATTAATTCTTTCCCTTTAGTTGTTAACTTTCAGAGTCAGGAATTGATGCCCTAGTTACCTTCAGTAGTGACTTATGAGTTGTGGGCTTTTTGGGGGGTGAGGCAGCATGGCTTTTTTTTAAATTACCGGTTTGAACTTATGGATCATATGTTTATATGTTTAATTTGATTCACTCAGTTGAAGTTATCATTCATTTTGCTCATATTTACCAGTGGGGAGCCCTTTTATGTTGGCTTTTGTGTGCTTTTTCCATGACCTCCACAGTCTTAGATAGCTTCTTTGCCTTCCAGGAGAATAAGATGTCTGAGGCTTGTCTTGTACATTTCTTACCCCAGACCTGGAATTACTCATTCCTCCAAGAAACCTTGGTTCCTTTTAGTAGAGAATGGTATTTAGAGACCACAGTCTGAGCCCAGAGGTGCTTATTCGTATTGGACTGTGTTGCCTCTAGGCTTTTTTAGTGTGTAGATTAGGAAATACATATTTTTTAAAAGAAAAATACCATGAGTTTTTGTTGACATTTCAAATTCAGACTCAAGATTACTTACTTAATTTCTTTGTGTTTGCACTTTTATCTCTTTTCTCTTACACTGGAATTCTTAGTTCCTAACAACAGTGATGTAATTATGCATTTGCCTTATCCTGTTACAGGATATTCATATCCTGATATGCATTAATAATAATTATTATTATATGATTATTATGATGCTGCTGCTGATGAAATTATTTTATATGTAGTAGTAATTTCATAATACCAATATTACTGCTGACAGTAAGACTACTAAATGGCATTTAAGGGTTTTTTTGCAGCTCTTTATCCTTATACTATCTTTTCAGTAAGGACATACAGTCAAAAAACTGTTCCAGAGTTACTTGAAATAATTCTTTCTCTCTGTGTAGTTATGCCAACAACTTGTAATACACTTAGGTTCCTTTGTTTTAGTTTTTTTTCCATTTTTAGAAATTAAATTTCTAACTTTAATTTTTTGAAGATGTAAAACATTTACATGATTCCAATGTCAAAACTATATAATTAGGTATGTTCAGAGAATTTTCACTTCTGTCCCTCTCTTCTTCTAGGTAACCATTTCCTTCCCTTCCCTTATAGGTAGCTGTTTTTGTTTGTTTTTAGTTACATACCTAGTTACGTGGTGGGTTTTTGTTTTTTGTAAATTAAAGCAAATTATGCCCATGAATTTGTATTTTCCTCCCCTTCTTAGACAAAAGTTAGCATACTAGAAGTATTATCCTGCACCTTTCTTTTTACGTTTAATCTTGAAGATCATTTCATATCTCAATATAGTGGTTGTCCTAGATCTCTTTTATGCCTGTGTGATAGTCTATTGTATCCTCTTTTATTTAACCAGTCCCTCATTGATAGACATTTTATTTATTTCTGGCCTTTTGTGATTATAAATAATGCTGCAGTGACTAGCTCTGTAGATAAGTAATTTAGTATTTTTTGCCAGTGTATTTTGGGATAGATTTCTAGGTGTAGATTACTAGGTTCAGGGTAAGTGTGTATGTAATTTTTGTAGATATTGTCAATTCCCTTTTATTCACATTGAATCATTTTGCATTCCCACCAGCAGTGTGTGGGAGTACTTATTAACCCACTGCCTCTCTGCTTGAGTGTATTGTCAGACTTGGAGTTTTGCCAATCTTATGGCTGAGTGGTTTCTTCATATAGTCTTACTTTGTATTTCTCTTAGCTTGAATGAAGTGAGCGTATTTCCATACGTTTAAAGGCCATTTTCACTTTTGTGTGTGTATGTAACTGTCTGTTCATATATTTTTCTCTTAGGCTTTTAGTTTTTTTCCCTCAAAAAAAAAAATTAGGAGCTCATTATACATTATGAATAGCCTTTGTAATATGTCAACCACTTTTTAATTCAGGTGATTGATTTAAAGAACATCTTATTAGTGGCAAAATGATAGAGGTAGTCTCTTAACTTCTGACTTACTGTGGAAAGATTTAGGCTTTCAGTTTATAGTAGTGTTGTTTTAGATACACTTTTAGTAGCTATGTTCCCAGTAATACCAATCCATCCTCCTTACAAGTTAACAGTATTTTTAGGTGTTGCCATTTAGTTAATTTGGGAGCGTAGACTTCAGATAGAAAATCTTAAAGGTAAATAAATCTGTTTAATTCTGTTTCTAATAGTGTTTGAATACTTTTGCAAAGTGAGATTATAAGCTCTTCAGACGTTTGAAATACTATCTCAACAGAACACTTCTGCAGTATCTGGTGCATCCTACGTTTTGTGAGGTAGTCTGTCACTTTGTTATTCTTCAGCTGTAGAGTATCTGAAAGTTGCCTTGTACTGTAGACTAACGTGATAAGAGTCAGTGAGTTAATAGACTAGAAGTCTTAAAGAAATAACTCATAGGATGTTGCTAGCAAGTTTCTTTTCATACATTGCATTATTCATACATAAGCAGCTATTTTTTAAAATCTGGCTTTGTAATGAAATCCTAAAGGAGTTAAACATCTTTTCTGAGAATTAGTTGTTTTTAATGTAATTTCCAATTTAAAAATCAGGTATTCTATTTTTCTAGAAGAACCTAACAAGACAAGTGACAACAGTAACACTAGTGCCACCACTACCTCCATCCAGCCTAATCTGGAAAACAGTAACAGCAGCAGTGAACTAAATTCTTCTCCAAGTGAATCTGCTAAGGCAGCTGATGATCCTGAAAACGGAGAAAGAGAATCCCATACACCTGTCTCTAGTCAAGAAGAGATAGGTAAGAATACACTTCATACATTAAAGGGAGCTTTTAATTTTTTTGATTTTTAAAATTTTTTTTTAAATAAAAGTTTGATGGGGGTGGGGAGAAATTGGATTTTTTTTTTCTTTTTTTTTTAAATACAGTCAGCACTCACACTCCTTGTTTTTGTTTAAATAAATACAAAAGCACACAGAAGAAAAAATAGAAGTCCCTTTTCACATATCCTCCCTAAAGGTAACCATCATCAAGTTTAGTGTGTGGCATTTTAGATCTTTCTCCGTGCAGTTACATTCTTCATGTATGTACATATACAAAAAAGGTGTTTTGTTTTTTGCTTTTTTTTTTTTTTTTTTTTAACATAAATGGGATCGTTCTGCATCTTGCTTTTTTTTGATCAGTAATATGTGTAGGAGATCTATAAATTGAATTTGTTGTTTTTAACTGCTGCTTCGTATTCCACGATATGGATGAACCATAATTCATGTACTCTTTCTTTGTTAATGAACGTTTAGGCTGTTAACAGTTTTTTCATTATTAAAAATAGTGGTGCTTTTTAACATCCTCAACATATATTTTTGTGTACTTGTGCAAGTACTTCTGGCAGGATAGAAACGGGAAGTGGAATTGCTGGGTCAAATGGTAGGTACATTTTAAAATATTGATGGCTACTGCTGAATTGTACATCAAAAGAAATTTATACTCATAGTTTACATACTTAACTACTTTTTCATGCCCTTATCTAATTTCAGCATCATCAATGTCTTACATATTTGTAAATGGTAAAAAGTGTTTTATTTAAAATTTTACTCTTCCTGCCTACTAATGCAGTCAGGCTACTTTTCACATGTTTGTTGAACTTTCTATGAGTTGCTTATTCATATCTTTGGCTTATTTTTTCCTGCTGAGTTTTGGTATTTTTCATAATGAATTACAGGAATACTTTATGCATTATCGCTATTAATCTTTGATTTTTACATGTGTATCTTTTTCATTTAGTCATTGATTATTTGTACCTTTTTATATGTTGTCTTGTAGAGAAGTTTCTATATAGTTAAATTATCAGTCTTTTTCTTTAGAGTTTCTAGATTTTGTGTCTTATTGAGGAAGACTATCTGTATCCCAAGAATATAAATATATTGTATTGTAATTTTTCATAAGACTTACTTGTTTGTAATCCACCTGGAGTATGATTTTGTGTATGCTGTGAGGTAGAAATCTGTTTTAATTAGGTCTTTTTCTATAGCAAGTGACCAAGCCAGCTTAAAGTAGCTTAAGTGAAAAGGGTATTTATTATTAGCTCATGTAATTGGGATGTCCAAGCCATCAGCAGACATAACTGGACCCAGGTATCAAAACTCTTTCTGTCTCCCTCTCTTTCTCTCTCACCTTTTGGATCTGCATATTTTTGTGTGTTAACTTCATTCTCTCCTAATACAGACAGGCTTTTTCCAAGTGGCAGGGAAGATGGCATCAGCTGTTTGTGTTCATATCTTTCCAAGGTCTGTGACCCAAAGGCAAGGCCCCTACTCCTGCTCCAAATCAAAAGTACTTGAGGAAGGAATTTGAGTGGCCTATCTTGGATCATATTGTTCCTACCCCTGTGGCCAGGGTAGGCAAGGTATTATGATTGATGGCTCCAGCAAAAGTATATGATTGGAGTGGGGTAGGAATGGTTTTCCAAAGAAAGAGGGATGCTACAAAGATAGAAAGCAGTAAATATCCACAATTCCACCCTTTGGTAGCTCAGCACATACATGTGTCCTCAACATTTGTTTCCATACATACAATTCACGAATGTTTTTGCCTAACGTAATGTGAAGATCTCACCCACAACTGAAGACTTTTCCAAAAACCTCTTTCCCCAAATTACATATGGTAATTGTATTTGGAGGCAAATCTAGGATTTCTTTATGTCATGCATTAATTGATAAGATCCAGATGTGGCTCATCTTGATTTCACAGTCGATGAGCTGAAGTACAAATTTAACTATTTGTGACAGCCGTCATCCTGGTTTGTAGTGGAGGATGTTGTTTGATCATGCTGGCTGCCACTAGTTGGAGAATGACCATAGATCAGAGGGGAGAATGTTACGGGAAGAGTCCCGTCTGGAGGCCATCCTGTGCTAGCAGCCTAGTAGTTCCTGCTGGCTGTTGTTGGGAAGGAGTTCGTAGGGATTGCTGTAGGATTAAGCGTTCAAAACACCCCAGTTTGGCAGGTTTGCATTTCTTTGCAATTGGACCCCCTTATAGATTCCTAGGTACCCAGCTAGTACCTCATGTCTAGAAACATGGATTAGTGTCCTTGAAGGTAAGCCCCCTCCACCCTGCAGTATGTTGGCTTAGCAGACCAGTAGCCCTAGCCCAGTTGAATAGGGTTTATCTAGGCTTCTGCCACCTGTTCTCATTAAACAGTGAGCTACAGGGACTGGGGTAAAGCAGGTCTGCAGTCGGCCCCCAGGCTGCATCATACTTAGAATAGGACGAATTATGGCCTTGGCCAGAGGATGCTCTTAAGGAGCTGCACTCTCAGCCTTGTTCTTTTTCTCTGCTCCCTTCAAGTCTTACTCCCTGGGGATGAATTTTCTGCCTCTTTGCTCTTATTTGCATTAAACTTAAAACCAAACTAGTTGCCATCGAGTCAGTTCTGACTCATGGTGACCCCATATGTGTCAAAGTAGAACTGCAATCCATAGGGTTTTCAGTGGGTGATTCTTCAGAAGTAGATTGCCAGGCCTTTTTTTTTTTGATGTACCTCTGGGTGGACTCTAACCACCAACCTTTCAGTTACCAGCTTATGCACCACTCCGGGCTCTATTATCAAGTGGCAAAGGATTAACTCACAGATTATTGTCTCTAAATCAAGGGTCATCTTTCAAAAAGCTCTGTGCCCACTTCCTTTCTGCTCCTAGGAAGTCCAGCCTAGTCCAAAAGATGTCTCTAATGTCTCTATTGTAGGACTTTATCAGTGGTCCCAAGAAGTAGCCATCAGAGTTCAACATTCTGGCATTTTAGTATATTCAGTCTGTCTCATGAGTAGACTCATGGTCTGAGTCCCAAGAGAAAATTATTGATACTCTGACTAGCTGCTCTGCAGTGTGTTGAACATTGAAGGTTACTGGCTTCGCAGTATGGCAAGATGCTCATTTCTCCCGCTCCATCTTGAATTAATCAGTGCCATATTTTGAGGTCAAAATCTTGAAACACTTTACCGGATTATTTAGAATTTATTTGCAAATGTCAAAACTCCATCTCAAACTTGCTTAAAACAAAAAGGGGATTTTATTGGCTCATACAATTACGAGCTTCAGAGGTGGTTACAGCCTCAGATGCGTTGTTGGATTCAGGGAAGCAAACGAGTTTATCTACATCTCTTTCTCTCACTTCTCCCTCTCACAGTTTCTCCATTTTTCTTTCTGAGGGGGGCTTCTTGTCTCTTGTTATTAATGGTGTTTTCCATGTTGTGGGAGTAAAAGTAGCCAACCCCTAATTTATACCCTTCCTGCTCACCAGTATAAGAAGCAAAGACCCTTTCTTCATTTCCAGATTTTAAAAATTGGAGTAAGATGTGAGTGGCTTGGGCTGCATAGCCAGTCCTGGGATATCGCTGTGGCCACTCAGTAGAGTGCTCTGTCTGGCCAAGCTGAGTCCCATTGCCCACTTCAGAGGAGCAGGATACTTGATTTGCAGGCCTGGAAGAATCTTATGATTGAAGTGGGGAGAAGCATCTCCCAAAAGGAAAGAAAAGGGGGTGATGAACAAAAAAAATTAAAAAATGTTTACTAAATGGTCTTAACTTTAATTTTCTCCAAATTGATAGCCAGTTTTCCCAATCCCATTTTTCTGCCTAGTTACTTAAAATGCCAGCTCTATGAATATATAACAAATTCTATTTGTCCTTTCTTTTACCAATGCCATACTGTCTTAATTTTAAAACGCATTTAGGTTAGAAAAGAAAAATCAGGCCTTGTTCAGCTGTCTGACTAAGGGAAAATGGACAGTGATATGGTACCTTCAGAATGTATAGAAATCTTAAGTCAAAGTGAGATTCATGGGTCTATAGAGCAGAAATTGCTCCTGGGCAGTTAAATCTGTCACTTTTAAAAATTAAGTGTCTATGAAAATGTGAGAGGTCTTTACTAGACTAAAAAAACTAGTTGATTTTTAAATTAATAAGCAAACATAATCAATTATCTAGATTCCTTAGGGGAAAATTCATTTAACTTTTATGTTTATAAGCTCAAATCTCTTAGGTACCTAAACAAAATTTCACTGGAAATCTTTCTAAAATTAATTATAGCCTTTCCTTTTTATACAAAAATCTATATTGAATGTATAAGACAACATTTTATTAGTGTGTGTTTTGAGTTACTATCTTTGTTACTTGTGAATTTGTACAAGTCCCCTCCCATTTTCTAATAAATGAGCTTTGAAACCAGATAGCCTCCTCGCATGTTTCAGGCATCTGTAAAATAATAAATGACTCACAGTAATGTTCTGACATACTCTCTTTTAAGTAAAACACTTAAGAATTAATGACATTTGCTTTGGCTATTCAAGGACTTTTTTCCTTTGAACTTTCTGGATCTTAGATGTGTACTAGATATGAGTTTTAGATAAATAAGATGTTATTATTTATGATTTGCTTACCTTCAGCAATTACTTTGTGACTTTTTCATTTGGGAATAGGTGATTACAAATCAGAGAAGTCTAATGGCGAAAGAAGTGAGTCTCCTGGAGCTGGAAGAGGCGGATCTGGTTCAACTCGAATTATCACCAGATTACGGAATCCAGATAGCAAACTGAGTCAGCTCAAAAGCCAGCAGGTGGCAGCTGCCGCCCATGAAGCAAATAAATTATTTAAGGAAGGCAAAGAGGTGTGTTCTTTCTATTATTTAAGGAAGGCAAACAGGTGTTTGCTGTTAAAAAAAAAAAAAAGTCTCTGGAATGTGAAATGATTTTAATAACCATACCTTAAAAACACGTAGGAAGTTTGTAGACCTACTTTTGCATTGTATTTTCCCCACTTCCAAGAGTGTATTAGGTAACAAGATTAAAAGTTAGGTTTATATTATAAGTATGGCTATGCACCCAAATGTCAATCCATGCATACAAAATGCTGTGAGTGGTATTCTTTCTTACTACATGATCGGTTGTATTGTATACAATTCTAAAGAGATAGAGCCTTCTTTTTCATATACGCTAGTGAGTGGGCTATTTGTTGGCTTTCTTAAAGAACTGTAGATGATTTATTGTGCAGTTCTAGCTATTGTTACTTCAGTTAACATGCAACTAAAGGGTGGAGTTTCCAGTGCATAGAACAGCACTGCGTCTCAGCTCTGAATATGGACAAGAGGATTGAAGCTACGCCTCAGTATCTCTCCCCACCAGCCAACCATGGTGGCACAACTGTGGCTACAACTGTGTCTCCCAAACTTGAGGATTATTTGCAGGGTAGATGTGCAAGAATATACACTGCTGTTTAAAAAAAAAATCACAGGAATTACTTTAAAGCAGTGGTTTTCAAACTCCTTTTTAACTGTGACCCTCAGTGAGAAATACATTTTTCATAGCAACACAGTACACACATCCAAAAGTTTCCTGAAATAGTATTTCACCTTACTGTGTGGGCAGCACTCCATATTCTTGTCTAGTGTAGTCTATTGCATTATACTTCATTTTTTAAAAAGCCGATTAAGACCCACTGTTGACAGACCACTTCACAGAGCCCCGGAGGCACAGTGGTTAAGAGCTTGGCAGCTAACCAGAAGGTCTGCAGTTCAAATCCACCTACTGCTCCTTGAAAACCTATAGGACAGTTCTACTCTGTCCTATAGGGTCGCTGTGAGTCGCAATTGACTCCATGGCAGTGGATATTGACTTCATAGTCCACTGAAGGGTTGGGATCAACTGTTTGAAAACACTGTTTTAAAGTATCCATAGGCTCTTATATTAAAGCTGGAATGGTAAAATGAGAAGAAAAGTATTTTTAGGAATATATTTTGGGGGGGATAGTACGTGCAGGGCCTTCCCTTTTCCCTAAGATACATGATATAAGCTTGAAATAAAGATAGGTGAGTGATTTACATATAGTTTTATGTGTATATTTGGTATACATGAAAGTACTTAATAGTGCCTGTCATATAGTAGGCACTTACTAAATGTTAGTTTTCTTTCTTTTTGCAGGCGTATCTTGGCTGCTTAATTGTAAACAATTAGCTGTTAAACTTTAAACGTTCAGTCATAAGATGTATCTTGTAGACTTTATTTGGAAGATTAATTACAGATTGTTGAAAGACATTTACATCTTTGATATGAATAATAGAGTCTTTTTATTTTCTTTGTCAGGTTCTGGTAGTTAACTCGCAAGGAGAAATTTCACGATTGAGCACCAAAAAGGAAGTGGTCATGAAAGGAAATATCAACAATTATTTTAAATTGGGTCAAGAAGGGAAGTATCGCGTCTATCACAATCAGTACTCTACCAATTCATTTGCTTTGAATAAGCACCAGCACAGAGAAGATCATGATAAGAGAAGACATCTCGCACATAAATTCTGTCTGACTCCAGCAGGAGAGTTCAAATGGAATGGTTCTGTCCATGGGTCCAAAGTTCTTACCATATCTACTCTGAGACTGACTATCACCCAACTAGAAAACAACATCCCTTCATCCTTTCTTCATCCTAATTGGGCTTCACACAGGTAAAAGAAACTAAGGTTAATTTACCTCTATTAAGCATACTAAGTATTTATACAATGTTTATTTCAAGAGTGCACTTAAAAATGTCATTGCCAGTGAACTGAATGAATGAAGTCAATTTGGTCAACAGAACAGTGAGGAAGTTAGAGGTGTGTATGTACTGAACCAGCACCAGCATTTGAGAGATTTCTAGAAATCAAACAGAGGCCAGATAGAGTTCCAGAACATTGTAGAAGGTTTAAGAAGTTGAAGATCTAAATGACTTCTGGGATTCCTTCCAACCTTCACCTAGAAATATAAGCATTATAAGATGGAGTCATTATAAATTACAACTATTATGCTTTTAACTTCAGATCACCTAAGTGAAATAATTTCTTTTTTTCTGAAATACAGAGCAAATTGGATCAAGGCAGTTCAGATGTGTAGCAAACCCAGAGAATTTGCATTAGCTTTGGCTATTTTGGAGTGCGCAGTTAAACCAGTTGTGATGCTACCAATATGGCGGGAATCTTTAGGACATACCAGGTAAGTGAATTTTGAGCCTTGTGAATGATGAATATTGGATTTCTTCTGGAAATATTTGTTAATTACTAACGAAAGTTAATGTATGTAAGAGGCCGTATTAGAGTCTTCACCTTCTTGGCCTCATTTTCCTCCTCTACAAGATGTAGACATTGATGAGCATTAGCATTTATTTATACTATAATATTGTAATGAAGATCAAATGAGATCAGTTTTATGAAAATTAAAAAATATTTTTTAAAGTTTAAAAAAAAAAATTTTTTTTTTTACTGAATAAAAAGAGCACTCACATTTTTTGAATGTCTGTTCTCGAATGTTCCAGGGTGTGTGCTAGGCATCTGGTTTACATTCTTTTTTAGAGATGAGTCTGACCTCAACTCTAGTTGAGTGTCTCGCTTGACACTCGGATTCAACTCCCAAGTGGACCCAGCAGATGGTTAAGAAAAAGAGATAAATAAATTTTGTGACTTGAATCTGCTTTTTAGCCCTGGTGGATTTATTTTAGTCTGAAAGTTGTTAAGAACCCAGAAATGGGGGTGGGGAGGGGACTATTACTATATATTATATATAATAATATAAGCTAATGGTAAAATTTTTAAAAATTATTCAAAGGTATAAAGCAAAAAGTAAGAGTCACTCTACCTTCCCTGCACCTCTACAGGGTCGACTGCAAAGATATAACGCTGTACTGTTTTTTCATATAAATATATTTTACCTTTTTTTTATTTCTGTATTGTACTTTATAATAAAGCAATTTTTAGGTAAAGTAACCTGCCCTGCCAAGTAACAAGACTTCATTTAAGGCTATAATAATATTGTGGTATAGGTATAAAGATAAATAGATTAGTGGTAAGAATCTAGAAAAGACCAATCTATATATGGATATATGACAGGAGTAGCATTACAAAGGATGAATTAATTATTCTTTAAAAGTTAGTGGGGCAGTTGGTTATCCATGTTGGTGGCAGATTATATTTCTTTCTTTATACTGTATGCAAATTCAATTCCAGATATATTAAATCCTGAGTATGAAAAGCAGAACTTTAAAACCTTAAGAAAAATATCAGAGATTATCTTTCTGACCCTGGAGTAAAGAAAGTCCTTTTTTTCTCCTTTCTTCCCCCTCCTTTTCCTTCTTTACCCTCTTCCCTGCCTTTCTCCCTTTGTTCCTTCCATACCTCCTTCCTTTTTTCTTTCTCTTGATGTTTTTTCTTTCCTTCCTGATCGGTTTTCCATCTCCCAAGAAGTGTATAAAGCAGGCATTACTGCTTCCATTTGTATGTTATACATCAGATGAGAATAAGTGAGAGAGAGAGTGTGTGTGTGTGTATGCACACACTGTAAATGACTTTCCTTTTTAAATGTTACGTGATATGTGATATATGTATAAGATTGTATGTAATATATGTTATAATGGGTAACAATAAAATGAACACCTGTACATTCACCACCCAATTTAAAAATAACAACATTATCAAAATTATTGCTACTGTTTTCCTCTCATATTACCTTTCCTCTCATGTGAACTAAACACAGTTGTTAAGTTTGTGGTTTATCATGCCTCTCCTTTTATTATGTAGTTTTATCACATATGTATATACAGTAAACACTGAGTTGTCTTTTGTTGTTTGCTTTTGAGCTTTATAGTAATGTATCATTTTAAAAGACTAAGTCATAGATTGGTTGAAGATATTTTTAGCATTTTAATCAAATAGTATAATCATCAAAAAAGGCTTAATATCCACAATATATTCAAGAACTTATACAGTCCAATATGACAGAATCAACCCACTTCGTAGGGCAAAAAAAGCAAAATATACATAATTCACAGAGGAGGAGACATGAATAGCCAAGAAACAGGAAAAGATGCTTAGCCTCCCTTGTAATCTGGGAAACACACATTAAAACCAGGGGCTGTTGTTTCATACCCATCAGATTGGCAAGAATGTGACATGATAGGAAGAGAGCTCTGATACATTGCTGATGAGACAGTAATTAGCATAATTGTTGGAACATCATTTTACAGAAATTTGGTAAAAATGTCGAAAATGCAATCCTACTAATAATTAAATACCTTGGAGAATTTCTTAAATGTGTACACAAGGAGACATGTAGAATGTTTGCAGTATTGTTCCATAATGATGGAATTTGGAAACAATCTCTAAATGTCCATAATCGGGCTTGTTTAAATTATGATATATTCCTACAAGGGACGACTATACAGCAGTGAAAAACAAACTAGAGCAACAGGTGACAACAAGATTGACTCTCATAAAGGTAAAGTAGCCTGAGAAAACAAGCAGTAAAAGGATACATGTAGTATGATACCCTTCATATAAAATGTAACATGTATGCTAATATAATGTCTCAATATTGTTTAGGGATATAGACTGTTGTGGTAAAAGTTTAAAGAAATTCAAGGGCTTTGTGTTTGAAACTTACATACACACCTCTAAATAAATAACCAATAGTCCAAGAAAAAGTACAATGGAAACTAGGAAATATTTTGAACTGAATGTTTATGAAAATACTACGTACATTTATGGGATGTATCTAAAGAGAACCTCGTGGAAATTGATAGCCTTCAATCTTAGAAAAAAAGAAAAACTGCAAATTAAATAGCTAGGCATACATCTCAAGAAGTCAGAAAACAAATGGGTAAATCAACCTGGATTGAGAAAATATTAAAGAGTAGATTTAATGAGATAGAAAACAAACATACCTTAGGTACTGTTACAGTTTTTTAAATATTACTTTATTGTGTTTTCAATGATAGGTTACACAGCAAATTAGGTTCCTATTTAACAATGTTCATACATATTGTTCAGTGACATTGGTTACATTTTTCACAGTGTGTCAACATTCTCTTCATTTCCATTCTGGTTGTTGTATTTCCATTAATCTAGCTTCTCTGCTCCACCTTACCTTCTCATCTTTGTTTTAGGGTAAATGTTGGCCATTTGGTCTCATATAGATGATTTTTTAAAGGATCACAGTACTGATGGTTGATATTGTTTATGAGCCAATCTGTTATTTAGCTGAAGGGTGACCTCCAGGTGTGGGCAGTACAGAGTTTACAGGGTATCTCAGGGCGATAGTCTCGGAGGTTTTCCTGGTCTCTACCAGTTCTGTAAGTCTGGCCTTTTTTAAGAATTTGAGCTTTGTTCTACATTTTCTCCCATTCTGTCTGGAACCACCTATTGTGTCCCTGGTCAGAACAGTCAGTAGTGCTGGCGGGGCACTATTTCTTCTGGTCTCAGGATAGATGAGGCCATGGTTCATGTAGGCAATTAGTCTTGTAGAGTAGTTTCTTCTCTGAGTCTTTGGTTTCCTTCTTTCTCGTTTTCTCCAGATTAGCAGAGACCAGTTGTTGTATCTTAGATGGCTGCTCACAATCTTTTAAAATCCTAGATGCTACTCACCAAACTAGGATGTAGAACATAAACTTTATGGACTATGTTATGCCAGTTGACTGAGCTGTCCCATAAGACTGTGGTCCTAAGCCTTCAAACCCAGTAAACCAATCCCTTGAGATGTTTGGTTATGTCTAGAAAGTATCTGTAACTGTGCCCCCTATGTGTTTTATTATATATATGAATATATATACAGCACACACATACATATATATACATATGCCTAGATACTATTATAATTGACAAAACCTCTGATGAGATTTTCAAGGAAAAAAAAGAGTAAGCACAAATCACAATATCGGGAATAAAAAAGAGGACATACCAACCAACATTTCCTGATTCTGTCACTACATAACATAGTATTCAGGCTTCCTACATCCAGAGAAAGAGGCCCTCGGGGCTCCCCCTTTTGGATAAGGGGAAGGGTTAGGAAGTAGGGGCCACACTGATCTTGGTCATTAGACAGTAGGGCGTAGGACACACTGTTTTCTCAGGCAATAAAATAATTTTGGGGTCAGTTTAACAGGTATCATTGTACCTACCAGTAAGGAGACCACGTGATTTCATAAATATGTTCTTCCTCCAGTTTCAAGGAACAGATAATTCTGTTATTTAAACTTTTCCACATAATAGAAAAAGAAGGAAATCTTCCACATTATTACTTCTGTGAGTATAAAACTGTTATGAAACCTGACAGGATAATTCCTGAATAAAAAAATTATGGCCCTGTCTGTTATTAATATTAATTATTGATTAATAATAGCAAATAGATGTGTATACAAGAAATCTTAAACATTAGCAAATATATTCAGAAGTAAATTAAAAAATAATATAAAACATGACTAAATTGGCTTTACCTAGACATGGAAGAATTGCCCAATATTAAAAAATAAAAAAAGGAAACCAAACCCGTTGCCTTTGAGTTGATTCTGACTTATAGCGACCCTAGAGGACAGATTAGAAGTGTCCCATATCCAAGGAGCAGCTGGTGGATTCGAACTGCTGACCTTTTAATTAGCAGCCAGTCTGTTAACCACTGTGCCACCAGGGCTCTACACCCAATGTTATGAGGTTATTAAAATCATGCTGTTTAAAGAAGTCAAAGGAGGAAAACTTTCCTAATCTCATTAGATGCTAAGAAGGTATTTGTCTAAATTCATTATAAATTCCTGCTTAAAGAGAAAAAAAAAAAGACTAGTTAAATAGGAATAGATGAATAGTCTCTTTTTTTAAAGATGTATTTCAAACCAAACCATGCTTTATGGTGAAACCCTTGAAGCATTCCCATTAATATTCAGGAGGAACTAGACAAAGATGCCCACTATTGCCGCTATTTAACTTTTCCTGAAAGTACTAGCCAATGCAATTTGCCAAGAGAAATGAAACATAAATATTAGGAAGATAATAGGCATAATTATTATATGCAGATGATCCAATTATATACTTAGAAAGGCTTAGAAATTTTTAACTAAAAATCTGTTAGATGCAATAAGAAAAGTAAGGTGGCTGGCATACAGAGCAATAAGCTTTCATATGCACAACCAATAATCATAGAAAATGTAATGGGAGTTCTGAGTTAAACTAACAAATTGAGTAAACACATTTAATTTTGCTCCCTCCTGAACTCCAGTAAAATTACAGCAGCGTCTTTTTTAAAGGCAGAAATCTGCAGGGGTCAGGGGGAGCAACAGAGGCTAGAGCATCAGTAAAATTGTGGAAGCTGTAATGCAGTTGGATAAATAGTGACCTACCCAAGAAATTCAAATCCCAGGTCAGTGGAGAGAGCTGAGAATTTGTCCAGGTTACACTGTAGAACCCTCCAAAGGCACAAAAGCAGAAAGTACAGAGCAGTTCACTTCTGATCATATCTGTGCTGAATGGGCAGTACCTGCTTTACACTGCAGTCCTGACAGAACCCCTGATTGTGGTGAGCCTGGTATCTTCAGTACTTGCTCATGGCCTCACCTACTGATTTCACCAGAAGAGGCTCTTCTTGTAAATTCTCCAGAAAGCTAAAGCCAGACTGTGTGACCCAAAGACAAGTTTATATTTTCCTGAGAACCTTCTTTTAATAGTGACAATATTTAAAAGATAATTTGAGTAAATGGAAAAAATATGCTTAGATATGTATATTGTATTTCCTAAAGATGCTATTTCTCTCCTAATTTTTTAAAATTTTAATTCATTTGCATTGTGAGTGGGATTTACCCCCTTTGCGGGTGGGGAGGCTTAACCAAAATAATACTAATATTCATCTAGAAAAATTAATGTGCAAGAATAGCCTGGACATTGTAAAAAAGGGAATAGGTATTAGAACATATTTTGAAGTTACAATAATCAAAACAATTTGTGCCAGAGAAGAAGTAGAGGAATAGAATAGAGAATCCAGAAATAGAGAAGGAACGAGAACATGTTTAGGCAAAATAGAACCTAGATTCTTGCCTCAACAAAAAAATTCAGATAGATGAAGATGTTAAAAAAAAAAAGAACTAAACTGAAATTAAACACATAAAACTTCAATAAGAGAACATGGATTAATTAATTTGTTTTGTTGTGATACTTTCTTTTTAAACAGATATAAAACCCAGATGCCATAGAGGAAAAAGTGGATACATGTATTTAAAATTCTGTGTGGAAAAATAATATTATAATCAAACTCAAAAGACTGAGGAAAAATATTTGCAGGACAAATGGAAAATTTCCTTATTTGACAAAGACCTTTTATAAATGACAAGGACAAATAGTCCAGTACAAAAAAGACAAAGGATTTGAACAGGCATTATACAGAAAAATTAATATGAAAGGCCAGTAGACATAAAAAATGATTACTTCTTTCATAATTTAAAAAATACCAATGTGATGTATTTTTTACTTCTCAGTTGGGCTGACATTTTGAAAGTTTGATACTAACTCGGTTTAAATGAAGATGTGGGAAAGCAGGATAGCTTCATGATTGATGGCAGTATGAAGTGTATAAATCTGAAGATCAGTTTGGCATTATCAACAAACAACATCCCACTACTGTGCCGACAAGGGTTTGCCCCATTCACTAGTTCTAAGAGTGCTGGCGAATCCGTGGGATTTGAATCAGTCACTTAATCCCTGATGAGAATCCACTCCCTGTCTCCTTCTACCGTCAATTTGTGAGAGACTGCAAGCTTTAAGGAGCCCTAGTGGCACAGTGGTTAAGCTCTCAGCTGCTAACTGAAAGGTTAGCAGTTCAAACCTACCAGCCGCTCCACGAGAAAAGGATGTGGCAGTCTGCTCCCATAAAAGTTATAGCCTCGGAAACCCTATGGGTCAGTCCTACTGTGTCCTGTAGGGTCACTTTGAGTCGGAATGGACTCGACGGCAGTGGGTTTGGTTTTTTGGTTTGTGAGAGCCTTATGGAGTATGTTCACTATACTAGTTGTATGCAGTTAATAGGCATGAGCTCTCAGCCTGGAGGAGGCTGGACTCTGGGGTCCCATAGTAGTTTGAAACCACTAGCGGCTCTGCGGGAGAAAGATGTGACGGTCTGCTTTCATAAAGATTGCAGCTTAGGAAACCCTGTGGGGTCATTATGAGTCTACAGTGGGTTGTTGGTTGTTTTGTTTTTATAGTCATAGAGGAGCCCTGATGGCACAGTGGTTAAGCATTCAGCTGCTCACCAAAAGGTCAACAGTTCTAATCTACCAGCAGCTCCTTGGAAACCATATGGGGCAGTTCTGCTCTGTCCTATAAGGTTTCTATGAGTCAGAATTGACTCAGTGGCAGTACGTGTAGTCGTAGAGAGACAAACCTTAAAAATGGAGATGGGTAGGGAGAGAGAGCCCATGAGACAGTGTGTGTTTGGTTGGGGGATGGAGATAAAAAGAATTTGGCCCCCTCTCACATTTTACCAGCACCCCACACAACCCCAAATTTGCATGAGGGCCCTTTATTCTTTCAACATGGTTGTGCATAAGGAATTGACAAGATCTGGGTAGGGTGTGATATGTGAGTATCCCTGGGTTCTTAAAGCAACTCTTCTACCACTAGAGCTCTTAGAGACAGGAGCTCCTGTCTTTGTAGGTTTTGGTTTATGTGTTAGTTTATGGGAAATATTCCTGTTCACAAAATTTTAGTCTAATCACCTTAATGTAGAGCCAGGATCACCACTCACCACAGGCCTGCCCATCTCCTTACTATAGGTGTGGTGATACCCACTAAACTGAGCCAGAATCCCTTTTCCTCTCTGAGGAAATAGCACAGCCTGTGCCCTACTGTCTAGTGGTTGAGATCAGTGTGAACCCTCCTTCCCAGCCTTTCCCCCCATCCAAAAGAGGGAGAGAGCCACCTGGGCCCTCCTTCTCTGTGGATGCAGAAAGCCTGGATACTATGTCATGGACCCTGTGAAAGCTTTAAAATCCAGTGCGGATGAGAGAGAATCCAAAATGTTGGCTGAAAAGTTTTTTAATTTGTTGGTATTTCTTTCTGGGAAGAAAAAAAAATCTGGGAATAAAATAAAGTATCCTTTAAAAGGGAACTGGTTCAATAAACCATAGTGTGTCCGTGCAGTGGTATATTATTTAAGTTTTCAAAAAGATCTGGATATTCTGATAGGGAAATATCTCCTAGTGCAATTATTCATTGATTAAAATCAGAGTAATATCCTTTCTGTGTAAATACATAATAGGTTATTTAAAGAGATACATAAATGTTGTTAGATGCATACAGTGTTTTAGGAATAAATCATGAGCGAGTGTTTCTTATGGGGAGGGATATGGGAAGGATAGCACTTTTTGTTTTTGTCTTTTTGTACTACTTGATTTTTTCCTTTCATGAAATTGCACATCTACTTATTTTTGTCATTTGAGGTGGTCTGGATTGCAGGATTATAACTATTTTTTTGTTTTTCTGATTTTTAGTATTATATTTTATCATGCTTTATTTATTTTTCAAAGTTAAAGGTAATTCTTCCTTTCTATCCATGTATTCTTAGGTTACACAGGATGACCTCAATTGAAAGAGAAGAAAAAGAGAAAGTTAAAAAAAAAGAGAAAAAGCAAGAAGAAGAAGAAACAATGCAACAGGCTACATGGGTAAAATACACATTTCCAGTCAAACATCAGGTAGTTTTTTTAATAGTCTTTTTAAATAGCAGTTTCTGAGATTCTTACTATGCCACTTAGAATATTTAACAATTTTGTTTTAGTTTTGACACAGTTTTTTAATATAGTTGAAATGAAGTCTTTCTGGCAATTTTATAAACATAGGTTTATTTTAGTAGAATATATGAAAGTTATTAGACTAATTTTGTTGAAATTGTTACAAAACTGTACAGTGGTGTTAAATTTTGTATATTAGAAAGGAGTATTAAGTTCTTTCATGAATCTTTTTTTCTCTACATTTTTAAAATTGTGGTAAAAATATATATAACAGAACATTTGCCATTTGGACAGTTCTTACATGTACAATTCAGTGACATTAATTACATTCCTTGTGCTATGCAACCATCACCACTGTTTCCAAATTTTTCTATCACCCTTAACAGTAGCTTAGCGCTCCTTAACAGTAACTCTCCTTTTCCCCTCATAAATCTTTGCCTCCCAGTAAAAATCAAGTTGATTGGTAAATTTAATTAATTTGCTTGGCATAATAGCCTTGTTGGGTAAAAATTTATAAAACCACATGTGCGTTATAGGCATTGTCATTCTTGTAGTATAATCAAAATATTTTTATTTTCACCAGGTTTGGAAACAAAAAGGAGAGGAATACAGAGTTACAGGATATGGCGGCTGGAGCTGGATTAGTAAGACTCATGTTTACAGATTTGTTCCTAAATTGCCAGGCAATACTAATGTGAATTACAGAAAGTCGTTAGAAGAAAGTAAGTAATTACAGTCATTTTTCCTGCTGAACCGTTTTTGCTTTGTATTATTTCTTATAACTTTGTAGTATATTGATCATATTTGGGATAAAAGCATTTTTCTGAATCTTTTAATAGAAAATGCAAAATTAGTAATGTAGTTTATTAATTATAAACTCTAAAGTTTTTAAAATTATTTTTAGTCACAGTATTTTGATGTTTAAGATTTCAGGTAAAGAAAGATGAAAATGGAACATTTTTGTTTAAAAACAGAAAGGACACTTTTGGCCACCTAATTGTTGTTTTTCTAAAATGTTTAATTTGGTTCTCCTTGACTTCTTGAGGAGTCGTAGATCTGGTCATCTTAGCATTGTAGTTCTTAGCAAAGCCAGAAAGAAGTCATCGAGGCTTCCACAACACACAAATGAGGTATTAACTCATTCATACTACTGGCCAACAAACTCTAATATTTGGAATCACAGAACACAAGAAGCAAACTGTCCTTTTAAGAGACCATGTTTTTCAAAATTCATGTTACATGAGCAAATTATTTTGTGCACACCTTAAATGACATGCTGGGGTTCACCAGATAAGGAGTGATAAAACCCTGACTAGAACCCGTGTCTTCTGGCTTCCACTGCCCTTTTCACATTCTAACATGGGATCTCTCCTTTGTTATCTAAGCAATTTTCAAAAATAGTTCTCTAAGCTATGCAATGTAATTTGCTAATTTATGGTGTGCTGTGTTCTTTCCTATGAAGCCTAAGCTAGGAGATTATTCGGTGCCCAGTAAGTAGTGTATACATACCTAGCTAAATGGTTTGGCTTTCTAGTGAATGGTTCTGGTGAAACCTGTACTGGTAGATTTGTGAAATTGTTAATATGTGAAAGTTATCATTGGTTTATCTTTTAACAGGAAAAAAATAAGTATTTTATAAGGCTCACTAGAGTTTGTTTTATTTTATACCCCCTAGGAGTATCTTTCACAGAATAGATGCTCAATAAATATTGCTGTTTATTGTATAGAAATTCAATATTCGATTCTGTTATTAATTTGATTATATCCAAGCTCAGTATCCATTATAATAAATTCCAAAGGAGTGTTATAATTTCTTTTATTACTATTTTGTTGTCTCAGACACTGTTCCAGTTACCCATGTAGCACTTCAAATTATAGAAGACTTTTTATTTGTCTGATTTGGTTGACCTGTGTAAAAATATCCAGATCCTCAATATGCAAAATATTTAGGTGTTTTAGATTTATTCTATATCAGCTTCCCTCAGCACAGGGTTTTCCATTGTCCAAATGCTGTTGGGCCTTTATCCATCAAGGTGCAAGGTTGATCTTCTCGGATCTTATGAGCCTCTTCTCCCAGGTGGTAGCAGGGAAGAGAGCAGCAGTGCACGTTGTCCAGGGCTCTTGGCTTAGGTTAACCACGGCGTAGGTACAAGGAAAGAAATAGTAACCACCATCTTTTAATGTCAGAACTAAAGGTCCCTATAATAATGTCTAATCTAGTCTGATTATGTGATAGAGGCACTGATGTGTTGAAAAACAGAGAGAAATGCAGTTGATAGAACACTTGACTTAGCCTCAGAAGATTAGAGTGTTAGACTTGTTTGACCACTGGCTATGTGTTTCTTATCTCTAACATTGATTTTAACTCTAAAATTATATACATTTAAGTTGTACTTCAATTTTTAGGCTTCAGTAAAGAATATATGTTAAATATATTCTTTTTGTCAAGAAGACCTTTAATCGGGGGAAATACCAAACATTTTATAGTTGTCTATTTTAAATATCAGGGTTCTTTTAGATTGTAGAAGGGGCTATCACTGGCATATATAGCCCTTCTTGAACAACTTGAAATGTTGAAAAAATATTGTCCCACTGTTCTGAAATAACTAAGGAAGCTTTGAGTAAGGATAGTAATCAGTAGTTTAGTTTTACTTTTCCTTTTGTTATATGTGGGGTCGAAACACAGCCCCTGTCACCCGTTTCTAAGATTATTTTCTTCTCTCACCAGCACCCTGCTCTCTTGACAGGTACTGAATATGTTCTTTATACTCTCTCTCTTTTCCTCAGCCGGCTCTTTCTGAAAGGGATCATTCATTTAAATAAAATATTGGTACAGCTTATTAGTCCTTAAGATATTTGGATTCAAGTATACAAGAAAATAAAAGAGAGAAAAATACCTCTAAGGCCTAGGAATATTCATCTTGATGTAGTTTTGGGGATTTGGTTTTTTTCTTCTTTTTTCTCATTATGGAGAATTTGAAACTACACAAAAGTAAAGAGACTAGAATAATGAATTCACATGGAGCCATCACTCAACTTAAATAGTCATCAAAATCTATCAAACTTGTTTCAGTTGTTCCTACTCTTCCCCCTGCCTCACCCCGGATATTTTAAAGCAAATCCTAGAAATCATGTTATTTCACCAGAAGTATGTTTGTATTTCTAACTGAAATGGAGATTGTTTCCATAACCACCATGCCATTATCACATTCAACACATTACTAATAAATAACAAATTAACAGAATCATCTAATTCTCAGTCCATATTCCAATTGGCCCAATTATCTTAGGCCAGCCAGGCATATAAGAAAACAGTTTATAGTATCTTCAACCTTTTTGTTTGTTTGTTTGAATAAAAAAATAAAGTATACATTGCTGGGAAATCTTAATTATTTCCGTTAAACTAGAGATATTAAAGTAAATCGCTAATATTGGCAATACCTGTAATTACTAAATACTTGGTTCTTTTTAGCCAAAAATAATATGGATGAAAATATGGATGAATCAGATAAAAGAAAAAGTCCACGAAGTCCAAAAAAAGTAAAAGTAGAGCTTAATTCTGAGAAAGGCGAGGTAAAAGATTCAGATGCTGCAAAAGGAATAGACCAAAGTGAAATGGACATTTCAAAGATTACTGAGAAGGACCAAGGTAAGGAGAGTCAAATGTGGAGGGCAGCCTGGGGGTGATAAGAGTACATTGGATCTAGTTCCCACAGCAGGAAAGGTACTGCATTGTCTTTGTTGTTTTTTTTAAAATAACAGCTTTATTGAGTTATAATTCACATACAATTCACCCATTTAAAGTGATAGTGGTCTTTAGTATTCAAAAAGTTGTTCAACCATCACAGTCAATTTTAGAACATTTTCGTCACCCTAAAAAGAAATCTAGTACCCATTAGCAGTCTCTCTCCATAACCCCCAGACTCTGAAAACCACCAATCTACTGTCTGTCTCTGTGGATTTGACAATTCTGGACATTCCATATAAATGGAATCATACATTGTGTGGTCCATTGTGTCTGGCTTCTGTCACTTAGCATAATGTTTTCGAAGCTCATCCATGTTGTAGTATGAATCAATACTTCATTCCTTTTTTTCCCCCTCCAAATAATATTCCATTGTATGGATATACCATATTTTTGTTTATCCATTTATCAGTTGATGAACATTTGGGTTGTTTCTACTTTTTGGCTGTTGTGAATAATACTGTTATGAACAATCAATGTGCAGATTTTTATGTGGACATAAGTTTTCATTTCTCTTGGATATATATGTAGGAGTGGAATTGCTGGGTCATATGGTAACCCTGTGTTCAGTCTTTTGAGGCACTTACATTGTCTTTTATAAAAAGTGGTTTCCTCTATAAGCTAAATAATTTGTGAGCCTAAAAATATTTTATTATTATAAATGACTATGCAAAATATTACACAAAAGTACTGATATGTGCAGTAACCTGTCACATACTGAGAAATTTTTCATTGTGACATTTTTAGATACTATGAATCAAAATATTTCTATATTTGGAATATATGTTTTTTAACTTTTTATAAAGTGTCTCTCTGCTCACTGACCGTTAATTATATACCAAGAACTTTGAAATATATGGATATATTTAAGCTCGCAAGTGAAAATAGATAGTTTTAAAAATGAAAATGTTCTCATGAATTCCACATTTCAAACTAAAAATTACAGTTATGTAAATGTCTTTGTCTCACAGATGTGAAGGAAGTTTTAGATTCTGACAATGATAAATCCTTCAAGGAAGAACCAATGGAAATAGATGATGATGTGAAATTAGAGTCACACATGAATTGCCAGGAAATCTCTCAAGTAGATGTGGTCAATGTCAGTGAGGGTTTTCATCTAAGGACTAGTTATAAAAAGAAAACAAAATCATCCAAACTAGATGGACTTCTTGAAAGAAGAATTAAACAATTTACACTGGAAGAGAAACAGCGCCTAGAAAAAATGAAGTTGGAAAGTGGAATTAAGGGTATAGGCAAGACTTCTACAAATTCTTTGAAAAGCCTGTCTGAGTCACCAGTGATAACAAAAGTGAAAGAAGAGTGTGACTTGCTTAGACAAGTACAAAGCCGTAATGCAAGCAATGATAAATCTGAAAATTTAATTCAGGGGTGCTCACAAAGTGATTCCTCAGTTCTTGGAATCAGTGATTCTAACCATACCACAAACAAACTTTACCCAAAAGATCAAGGGTTAGATGATGTCCCCATTCAGAGCCCAGAGGCAAACTGTCAGAAACAGAATTCTGTTGTAAATGACATAGATAAGAGGCTCTCTGAACCTACCAGTAAAGGCCAAGAACCCAGTAATATTAAAACAAAGGGAACTGATCTTCTCATGGATGACTCTAAACTAGCCAGCACAAATGAAATTGGTACTTTGATCTATAAGAACAAAAAACCACTCCTACAGGAGGATAATGACACCATTGTGTCTCCGTCTGAGAGCTCTTTACTTCCATCATTACCTAGAAGTTCCAGTGACAGAGAGAACCCATCTCTGTCGAAAGCAGTGGACTTCGAAGGAAAACTGGGATGTGACTCTGAATATAATAGCACTTTGGAAAATAGTTCTGACACTATGTCTATTCAGGACAGCAGTGAAGAAGATATGATTGTTCAGAGTAGCAGTGAAAGTATTTCTGAACAGTTCACAGCTCAAGAACAAGGTATTGAAGACTCTGAGCCATTGAAACGTGAGTTTGTTTCAGATAAATCCCCTGGAAAGTGTGGTGACAGGCTGCAGGCTAACGTGTCTGAAGCAAACGGTGAAAAACTAAGTCAGGAACCAAAGTTAGAGGAAAGACCAGTTAATAAATGTATTGATCAAATAAATCTACGAAATATCACTGACAAAAAGAATAATGAAAACCGAGAGTCTGAAAAGAAAGGACAGAAAGCAAGTACATTTCAAATAAATGGAAAAGATAATAAACCTAAAGCTTATTTGAAAGGTGAATGCTTGAAAGAAAACTCTGAGAGTAAGGTAGTAAGTGGTGATGTTGAACCAAAGGTTAATAAGATAAATAAAGTAATTCCTGAAAATGATACTAAGTCATTGACTATTAGGGAATCTACTGTAAAGCCATTCATGAATGGCGATGTCATCATGGAAGATTTTAATGAAAAAAACAACTTGGGAACAAGATCATGTTTACTGGGTTCTTCAGATGCTGAAGGTGACTACCAAGATAGCCTTGAGACACTGCCATCAACCAAAGAGTCTGAGAGTGCACAAACGACCACGCCTCCACCCTCTCATCCAGAAAGAAGTTCAGTTAATCAAGTAGAAGAAATGGAAACTGAAACCTCAGAAGTTAAGAAAGTTACTCCATCACCTATTACTTCTGGAGAGGAATCTAATCTCAGCAATGATTTTATTGATGAAAATGGTCTGCCGATCAACAGAGATGAAAATATCAATGGAGAAGCTAAAAGAAAAACAGTCATCACAGAAGTCACCACGATGACATCAACAGTGGCCACAGAATCAAAAACTGTGATTAAGGTAGCAAAAGGCGATAAGCAAACTGTGGTCTCTTCCACGGAAAATTGTGCTAAGTCCACTGTCACAACCACCACTACGGTAACAAAGCTTTCCACACCCTCCACAGGCAGCAGTGTGGACATCATCTCTGTAAAGGAGCAGAGCAGAACCGTGGTCACCACAACAGTGACGGACTCACTGACCACTGCAGGAGGCACTTTGGTAACATCTATGACCGTGAGCAAAGAATATTCCACAAGAGACAAAGTGAAACTGATGAAATTTTCAAGACCCAAGAAGACTCGCTCAGGTACAGCTCTGCCATCCTATAGAAAGTTTATTACTAAGAGCAGCAAGAAGAGCATATTTGTTTTGCCTAATGATGACTTAAAAAAGTTGGCCAGAAAAGGAGGAATCCGAGAAGTCCCTTATTTTAATTACAATGCAAAACCTGCTTTGGATATATGGCCATATCCTTCTCCCAGACCAACCTTTGGTATCACTTGGAGGTATGTACTTTAACATGTATTTGGGGAAGGGAGAAAGCTGTAAAAGAATTGTCTAATAAGTGTATCTCATTTTTTTTTAAGAAAGTGAGATAATAGAAATAAGATAGGGAAGCATATATTTAATGGCCAAAGTTAGTAATGAAAATAAGATACAGAAATCCTTGAATTTGGCCAGCTGGTAGGTACTAAAGTTTACTTAGGGAACAATATTTAAAGACTCAAAATTTAAGAAATCTTTCAAAATGAAACTCACTTTTACTTTTCATAAGACAAAAGAAACATGTCAAACATGATTGCTTTTATGGTCTAACTTTCCAAGTTATTGCCATGTGTTTGCTCTGGGAACAAGATAATCACCAAATTTCTGAAATGTTTGTATTTTATTTCTGTTAGATAATTCATGAAAACATAAGACATAAGGAACATGCCTATAAATTATACAAAGCTCATCATATGTGGAAATCTTCCTATTGTAATTTATTTGCATGGTAAACATTCATTTTGGAGTTCTCTGTTATTCATGTGAGAAAAGATAGTCCCTAAGATTCCTTATGAACTTTTTTTAACCCAGAAATAGTATTAATTTAAAATATTCTGGGCCTTATAAGTCTTGGGAATGAATCATAAGCTTGTATTGTTGGTGGTTATAAAATCATGCATTTTACTTTGAGAAAGGATCTTAGAAATTATCTTTGATAGATGTACAATAATTTGCCTCTCTAGCCACAGAGGGACAGAGTTAAGAATAGTGCCCAGTTTCCCTAAATCCCAGTGTAGTATTTTATCTGCTGTATCACGTTTCACATATTTGTCCATGCTTTGTCCTTTTTCATGTCCTTGTCTGTTTATCTTTGTACCCTTATAATTGAAAAGAATGGAACATAAACATTGGGATCCTCAGATTCTGTGGGACCTGCTCAGAAATCAGGACCAATCTTAGTTGCAGTTAGATTTTGCTAGAATCCTGGATTCTTACTTCAGGTTACTGAGCAGACTTCATTTCTCTGTAGGCTTCATTTTTATGTGTCTTTTAATGTTTCCATTTTCTTTAAATTAAAGCCATACTTTTTGTTTCCTTTATATTACAATTAGCTAGTATGAGGAAAGACTAAAAAAGAACGGGAGTACTCTCTACAAAGGAATTAATTTGTTGATACAACCAGTCATAGTTTGTTTGACCAAGTTTTTTATAACTCATCTTTTGATTTGACTTAAAATATCATCAGTCCATTACACATTCAATAGAGACAGCTGAAAAGTACAATTTCTCTGCAGGGCCTGCAATGAAGGATTTGCAGAATCCTGCAGGGAATCAAGGAAATCTTCATTACAATTCATGGATTTGTAGGATTACTCTGCACTTTTCTGCTTTCTTCATTGAGAGCGGTCCCAAAATGTATCCTTGACTGTCCTGCAGGTAACTTCTTTCCCACTGGAAAAGTTACTATGTACAGATACTTAATTAAAATGACCTGGCAGTTGTGGAGGCCAACCTTTCTGCTCCTTTCTATTCTGAAATGGAAGGTAGGCTCAACTGGGAAGCCCTTTTCTCTCAACACTCGAGGCGAACTAGTCACCAGTCCTGACCAAGAGTTGCTCAGGGCACTGTTCTGCATGGCTGGGTTTCAGGAGTCTTGTTTGATTATGTTTTAATACGCATTGTGGGCACAATTGTATCTGTTTAGTTAATTTCTCATTTTTTTAATGGAAGGAAATACCTTTATATACATTTTAAACAGATATTACCTTCAAATATATTAACGTCTTAATTTGTCGAAGTTGAGAAAAATATAGTAATTTCTCTCTAGTAGAAGCATAGGTAAATAGGTAAATTATTCTTCACTTTAGAATGTATTTTTTAAAAACATATTGCCATAAAAACCATGCATGTGAAATGCATTTTTATACTCACACTTGAATAAAATATGTCTGATGCTTAGAGTAGGAGCTAAGAATGCCAGTTGTCACGTATGTGATCTCTATTACATAATTTAATGTTAAGGCTCAGCAATATTGAAAGGGTGAAACTTGTCTCAGACTCATTAGGGCCTCTTTTTCCCTCCATACTGTCCATTCCCCTACACCCTTTTCCCCAGGCCCCAATTCTGTGTCTCATTATCACTTTGAACTGGTAGTTGTCCTTCACAATGCTGCCGGATGGACCCTTCTAAAAATGCGGATCTGTCCTGTGAACACCCTGAGTGAGCTGAGCAACCACGTGAAGAGGACAGGTTTACTAGTGCCAGGATGGATGGAGGCAAGGCATTTGTCTCCGGCATATCACATCTTTGAGAAGTCCTTCCCTTCACAGCCATTCCAGTACTGGATACATTTCAGAAGCCTTAATATATATAGTCGTGAATACTTTAGTTGGGTACAGCACGCTCTGGCTTCTGCCTTTGCTCCTGCCAGCTTCATCTCTTGCTGCACCTCCGCAGCCCTCCTCTCCAGCCATAGCACACTGGGTGTGGCTTCTGGAAGACGGGCATGCTCTTACACATCTTCCTTCCTTAGCATATGTGTGCCCCTTGCCTTTGATCAGCCACCCCCACACCCCTAGCCTGTCTTTTGAGACTCCAGCAAAGCTCTGATTGCCAACCCTGAGCCAAATCAGATGTGCCTGCTGTGCTCGGTCATCCCCTTGTCTTCCCTCTGTCACAACTCCTTGAGAGCATGGAGAGATTCTAGTCACTTCTGTGTCCACAGCTCCTTCCACATAGTCTCATTCATATATATGTATATATGAATATATATATCCCTCAAATATTTTTTGAATGAATGAACGTGCAGAATGATAGTTCATGAGGTGTGTTCCTTCACTGTTATTTCCATTTTAAAATAGGAATGCTCTTAAGTTGCCATTTGACCATAGAAACTGATTGGGAGGAAGCAGAAGGAGAGAGTGAGAGTAAACTTTCCTTTCCAAAAACATGTTCAATTGCTTTCTCCTATGAGCCCAGAGGTCCCTAGGAACTTCTGTAGGCTCTGGTCCGCAAGGGACAAACATTTTCTCCTCTTAGGACCTCCCTGCACTCATTAAGATTCCGCCTCTGACTTAAGAATTGTTCTGCCCAGGTCAAAGGATGCATGGGGGAAAGCCCAACAAAGAAAATGAAGTCACAAGTAGAGACTGGAAGTTAAGAGGCTACAACAGTGTTTGAGCTAGAGCTTTCCTTTTCTCATAATCATTTTTCCACCTTTAATGTTAAGAATAGAAAGCATTGGCTTTCTAGTGCAAACTTGCCTGAGATTGGCTTTCTTCTATGAAAGAGGAGGAAATTCTTTTAGCTTCATAGGCCTTTTCTCTACACTGCAACCAACAGTATATTCATTTAAGTAAATAAAATAAAATGTGCTTAATTACACAGAGACCACTAAAAGAGGATTGACGGCCTAAAGCTGCTTAAAAATATCTTATGGATAGTTCTGTTTTAGGACATGATATTCATTGCAGTTGAGGAAGCTCATTTTGAGATGTGTTTTTACGATTACTTTAAAAAGAATATCTAAAATGTTCACTAACTTGGCACACAATGCTTAGAAAAAACCTCAACACAGAGATTCGTTTGTCTCCTGGTTAGTAACTGATACAGTATTGCCCTTTTTCTGATCATGTGTTGTTACTTACCCTAGGAGTCCAGAATTGCACCAATACTGTTGAAGTGTTACTGCTGCAGTATTAGCAGTGTTCGTCATCCAGTAGTTTGTGTTTTAAAGAACCACCATTTGGATACAGAATTTTGTGTGTTTTGAAAGGTCTTATTGAATTTGTGAGATCTTTTTTGTTGTTGTTTTTGTTTTGAGAAAATTTGAACATTTTCCAGGGTTTTTTTGTTTGTTTCAGTGAAAATCAATCAGTCAAGATTTTATCCTTCTTCAAAACACTTTTATCACATTTAATAACAGTATTTATTTCTCTGTATTTGCTCTTTTTCATAATTTTTCTAACAATATTTTGGAATTAGGTTAAATTTGTAAAATCCTCAAATTATTATGTCACTCTTTCCATTAAACATGTTCATTTTACCAATTTATATGGCATTTAAAGTGACTGCAGACCCTTTTCAAGTTGTTGGGTGCATGTTATGCCTATGAATAAAAAAGTTCTATTAAGGGAAGTATAATGGCCAAAGCCCATACAAAACCATGTTATAAATACTGAAGTCGTAATGAGGACAAGAAACACAGTCTTTGAGTTTAACAGAATGCATATCTATGGTTTCTCTTGGGTTTTTCTTTCAGGTATAGACTTCAGACCGTCAAATCCTTAGCTGGAGTGAGCCTCATGTTACGGTTACTGTGGGCGAGTTTGCGATGGGATGACATGGCAGCCAAGGCTCCTCCAGGGGGAGGGACCACGCGGACAGGTAAGGGTTTGTTTTTGGGTTTGTTTTCCCTCATTTTAGTTTAAAAGATAAAATCACTTGACTGTTCAACTTAATTTTAAACATTTGCTTTTAAAATTGAAATGTGTGTGTTTTAAAAATACAGCTTTGCTAGAGTGAGTTTGACATCTCATGCCATCAAATCCTGGGGGATAGGGGGACAGTTCAGAGCTTAAAGTGAGTCACTTACGTGTAAACCAGTCTCAGGTTTTAAAAGACATGTATTATTGTAGAGTACAAATCATTTGAACTGGGACATCTGGAACTCTGTGGTTGCTGCTTCTCTCCCATGGTTTTTATGTTTTTGACTGAGTATTGCCACCAGGAACTAAACTACCCTGAATAGCATTTTGTTCAGTTTAGGAATCTTTGGGGGCACAGGAGCTCAGTGTTATTGCAGTACAGCAGTCATCCCATAGTCATTAATTAATTACATGTTTCCAAAAGTTTATTCCATGTGTCTCTTTTAAAGCACCAAATGTCCTATCTTTTTAGTCCTTGAATATGTTAAGTTGTTATTAATATTATGTGAATTAAATCACCATAGAAACATCTGAAACCAAAATCACAACAACAGAAATAATTAAGAGGAGAGATGTTGGGCCCTATGGCATTCGATCTGAATATTGTATCAGGAAAATCATTTGCCCCATCGGAGTTCCAGAAGCACCAAAAGGTAAGGAATAGAAAGAATTTGTTTGTTTTGCTATTGACCTGTTAGTCATAGCTCTTATAAATAGACATTTTATTATAATTGTTTCTTTAACTCTTTTTTCAATTTCTGAAGAAGGTATTTTTTCACTACAAACTAGTGTAATTAAAAAATGATCTTTTAATAAAAAATATATCAAGGTTTCATAGGCACATATGATGCCTGCAGGCATTGTACTAAGTACAGGAAGGATCCAAAGAGCTGTAATAATACGTCTTGTAATTAAGATGTGGTTCAGTGATTGACACTAGACCATCAGCTCCAAGAGGGCAGCCACCATGTCTGTGGTTCATTGTATGTGGTATAGAGTCTGACACAGAAGTGGTCAGCACAGGTTTGACTCAATGGTTAAAGCTGTGGTGAAATACCTCAGTGCTTAAGGTAGAAATAATCTAAGAGACATAAAGAGTTTTTCAGGAAACATTCATAGAACACCTAAATCATAGGCTCTGGGTGACAAATACTTACAGTAAGATCCAGCCTCTATTCTTAAGGAAGCAAAGAAAAGGTTATAGTACTATAATGTCATTAAGCATTAACTTAAATTATAATATGATAAGAAAGATTAATAAGTGGTAAATATTGGAAAGGGAGCAAGATTAAAACTACCTTGTGGATAATTATGAATTTCTGCCTAGCAAATTTATAAAAATTAGAACTGTTAACACTAAGAAGAGTTCAGTAAGGTATATAAATTCAAATATATAAATATACAGAAGCCAATAATTTTACTTTTGTATGAGCAATTAAAAAATTTAAGAAAAAAAATATTAAGAAATATGTCAAAAGAAAATGATGTCCTTAGAAACTTACTATGTTGTAGGAGTTAATTCTCCCCCAATTTATCAACTTAGTTTTTGAAACTTGATTAAATTAACTTGAAAATTGATCTTGAAGAATAAATGACTGAGAATAGTCTTTTTTGAAAAGAACACCATAAGGGATACTTGTCCTAGTAGATGATGAAATATTGGGATAATTAAAACAGTGTTGTCCTGGCACAGGAATAGACAGCTCAACTGATAGGCAGAGACTCAGATGGGAGAAAGCATTCCCAATGAGTGTTCAATCTCCTTGACCCCACAGCCTTCAATGCAGACCACTGCAGTCTCCTTGAATTTTTCAACTTTTTCGCTTTCCGTCTGTGCTTCTGCTGCTTCCCCGTTCCCTGAACATATGGGAATGTTCAATGTTTCAACCTCGTTAGGAGTTTTTATCTGTTCTTTCACCTATAATATCCTTGATGTCATCCCACAACTCGTCTGGTCTTCAGTCATACGTGTTCTGTGTGTCAAATCTATTCTTGAGATGGTCTCTAAATTCAAGTAGAATATACTCTAGGATGTACTTTGGCTCTTGTGGACTTGTTTTTTTCTTCATCTTCAACTTGAACTTGCATATGAGCAACTGATGGTCTGTTCCGCAGTCAGCCCCTGGCCTTGTTCTGACTTATATTGAACTTTTCCATCGTCTCTTCCCACAGATGTAGTCAGTTTGATTCCTGTGTATTCCAGCTGACGAGGTCTATGTGTATAGTTACCATTTATGTTGTTGAAAAAAGGTATTTCCAATGAATAGGTCGTGGGTCTTGCAAAATTCTATCATGAGATCTCTGGTGATGTTTCTGTTACCAGTGCCATATTTCCCAACTTCTGAGCCTTCTTCTTGCTTCCAACTTTTGCGTTCCAATCTCTAGTAATTATCAATGCATCTTGATTTCATGTTTGATCAACTTCAGACTGCAGAAGTTGGTAAAAATCTTCAATTTCCTCATCTTTGGCATTTGTGGTTGGTGCGTAAATTTGAATAATAGACATATTAACAGGTCTTTCTTGTAGGCATATGGATATTATCCTATCACTGACAGCACCGTACTTCAGGACAGATCTTGAAATGTTCTTTTTGATAATGAATGTGACACTGTTCAATTTGTCATTCCTGGCATAGTACACCATATGATTGCCTGATTCAAAATGGCCAATACCAGTCCATTTCAGCTCACTACTGCCTAGGATATCGATTTTCAAACGTTCCATTTCTTTTTTGAAGACATCCAATTTTCGTAGATTCATACTTCGTACATTCTATGTTCTGATTATTAATGGATATTTGCAGCTATTTCTTCTCATTTTGAAATGCTGAGGTAAAACAGCTAAACACAAGGTTTCAAAGAGCAACTCAAGAAGACAAAGTAAAGTATTATAAAGAAATGTGCAAAGACCTGTAGTTAAAAAACCAAAAGGGAAGAACACACTCAGCATTTCTTAGGCTGAAAGAACTGAAGAAAAAATTCAAGCCTCAAGTTGCAATATTAAAGAATTCTGTGGGCAAAATACTGAACAATGCAGGAGGCATCAAAAGAAGATGGAAGGAATACACAGAGTCACTGTACCAAAAAGAATTGTGGGACGTTCAGCCATTTCAGGATGTAGCATATGATCAAGAACCAATGATACAGAAGGAAGAAGTCCAAGCAGCACTGAAGGCATTGGTGAAAAACAAGGCTCCAGAAATTGACGGAATAACAATTAAGATGTTTCAACAAACCGATGCAGCGCTGAAGGTGCTCGCTCATCTATGCCAAGAAATTTGGAAGATGCCTACGTGGACAACCAACTGGAAGAGATTCATATTTGTGCCCGTTCCCAAGAAAGGTGATCCAACAGAATGCGGAAATTATCAAACAATATCATTAACATCACACCCAAGAAAAATTTTGCTGAAGATCATTCCTTCAAAAGCGGTTGCAGCAGTACATTGACACGGAACTGCCAGAAATTCAAGCCAGATTCAGAAGAGGATGTGGAAAGAGGGATGTCATTGCTGATGTCAGATGGACCTTGGCTGAAAGCAGAGAATACTAGAAAGATGTTTACCTGTGTTTTATTGACTATGAAGAGGCACTCGACTGTGTGGATCATAACAAATTATGGATAACATTGCAAGTAATGGGAATTCCAGAACACTTAATTGTGTTCATGAGGAACCTGTACATAGACCAAGAGACAGTTGTTCAAACAGAACAAGGGGATACTGTGGTTTTAAATCAGGAAAGGTGTACTGTCAGGGTTGTATCCTTTTTTACCGTACTTATTCAATCTGTGTGCTCAGCAGATAAGCCAGGAAGCTGCACTATATGAAGAATGCGGCATCAAGATTAGAGGAAGACTCATTAACAACCTGCAATATGCAGATGACACAATCTTGCTTGCTGAAAGCAAAGAACACTTGAAGCACTTACTGATGAAGATCAAAGACTACAGCCTTCAGTATGGATTACACCTAAACGTAAAGAAAACAAAAATTCTCACAAGTGGACCAATAAGAAGCATCATGGTAAACAGAGATAATATTGAACTTGTCAAGGATTTCATTTTCCTTGGATCCACAATGAATGCCCATGGAAGCAGCAGTCAAGAAGCATTGGGTAGAAGAGGCCCCGGATAAGTAAAGCATTACTGAAGAAGAAGAACTAAGTGGGAGGCCTCACACTACCTGATTTTAGAACCTGTTGTACTGCCATGGTAATCACAACAGCCTGGTACTGGTACAACAACAGATACATAGACTAATGGAACAGAATTGAGAATCCAGACATAAATTTATCCACCTATGAGCAGCTGATATTTGACAAATGCCCAAAGTCCGTTAATTGGGGAAAAGACGATCTCTTTAACAAATGGTGCTGGCATAACTGGATATCCATATGCAAAACAATGAAACAAGACCGATACCTCACACCATGTGCAAAAACTAACTCAAAATGGATCAAAGACCTAAATATAAAATCTTAAACGATAAAGATCATGGAAGAAAAAATAGGGACAATGCTAGGAGCCCTAATACATGGCATAAACAGAAGACAAACTATAACTAACAATGCAGAAACACCAGAAGAGAAACTATATAACTGGAAGCTCCTAAAAGTCAAGCGCTTATGCTCATCAAAAGACTTCACCAAAAGAGTAAAAAGACAACCTACAGACTGGGAAAAAATTTTTGGCTACAACAGATCCGATCAGCATCTAATCTCTAAAATCTACAAGATGCTGCAAAACGTCAACAACAAAAAGACAAATAACCCAATT